TATAACTTCTCTCTTAAGTTGACCACTCACTTGTTCTCTTACCTGGTTTCATGTCATGAAAATACTGTTGTGGTTAATTTGATGTTGATCATGCTATCGGTGGGAAGTGGCATCATATGCCTGTTGAGGCAATACCGACCAACATCAACATGGTGTCGTACGCAACGTACCATCGACATTAGAGATAAATAAGTCTGCCGACCAACGGCTAAAAAAGTAACTCCCTATCTTACATAACTGCATTCAACAAAATGGACAGGTGGAACTTGATAAAATTATTTGATTTTTCCATCATGATATTATAATGCCATCAATATGGCATGTTGTTCATCTACTGTGATTAACACACAATTCTTCAAAACATCACTCAAATCCTATATAATACTAGATGTATGAGTGGAGCGTTTTGGTGGCCTAGCTACCTACAGGCCATTATCCGTGTCATGCATTGTAGCCTTGTGATGTGTGCTACTTTTTCTTTGAACAGATGTGTGCTAGTTTTCTTTTCAGTGCGTATACGCAGCCTATGGTGTGGGAATACACGGTGCCATGGGCTACATGTACAATGCTATGTTTGTAGAGAGAATTTCTTATTTAACACTGTGTTTAAATTTTATGTCCTATTTGACATCGACAAATAATTTTTCCCTATCTAACAACAAGTCTAAATTTTATGTCTTTTATGACAAGTCTAAATGACAATTGAAAAGACCCTTTTACCCATCATGTGGTATGTTTGTGTACGCGTGCTGTTCGTTTTCTTTATCATCTTTAGTAATAATTATTATACTATTATTTGTTGGATTTTCTTATGGAGCTCATGTAATCTATTTTGAATGCCTGAGTTTTTTTAGTGCAGGATCTCCAAGGGAGAATATATGTATGTTTAGATACATTATATAGTGGATGCATACATTAGATGGTCTATCATTAGCTTTGCGTACAATTGCATGCATGCATCGAAGGCCATGCACGGCAGTAGCATGTACTCTGTACGTGGCTTGGCTCTAGCCGATGTACGCATGCATTTCTGAATACCCACACGTCTCTGCTGCACGTACAGAATGGACCTAAGTGTCATTTAGGCTTAAAATAGACGAAAATATCATTTAGGCTCAAAATAGATGAAAGTGTCATAAAAAGCATAAAATTTTAGCTCGTTGTTAGATAGGGAATAAGAGGTTTTTCAGCGTTAAATAAGGAAACGAAATTTAAGGTAGTGTTAAATAAGAAACTGTTTCATGTTTGTACACCGGCCTCCGTTTCGGCTGGGTGATGCAGGCAGAATGTGCCTCATGGACTGATTAGAATCTTACACATGTGTGTGACGCCGGCAAGGGAGGCTGGTTGGCAGCATCCTAATGAGAATAGTGACAGAGGAGATTAATGACTCATACAACGGTGCTAGCGAGGTGGTGGCCTATTGAGACGATATGTCTTCTGACAATATGAGTGGCACAACACCCAAAGAAGATGGGAGATGCCGAAGGGGTGGTCGTCTCAAAATCACAAGGTTCCCTGCAGGACAAGGAGGTAATTAACTATTAATATATATTGTGATTTGTTACTTTGTATAAAATGATAGCTCATGACGCGGTCCTGCTTCTTCATGTGAGATTAGAAGCTGATTAGGGGCATCTATAGCAGTGCATATCTCTGTTTTGCGATTCAGAATCAAATGTGTGATTTCAAGAAAATAACTAGTCGCCATGTTAAACTCTGCAGAATTCGTGAAGCAGAACAATTCCAACATAGTGTCAGAACTGGAGGCTTCGATATGTGCTTTTGTTGACCGAGTAAAGACCACATGTTTTGCTTTTTAGTTTGAGCTATGACACATGAAGGGAATGGTGATGGCACTTGTGCGCGCTGCTGGTCCGGCCGAGCTACATGAGATGCCACTGTTTCATCAGAAAAGAATATGGTTTCCTCTAAATGGCTCGTTCCTGGAATACAGGTAGGAATACATGGCTGGGGTTGATCCCGGTAGAAACATACGTGTGCGATATCGGCCTCTAGGTAACTCGGCCTCCAAATAACATTTTCATAGATGTATCTACTATAACTTATTACAAAACTTTTATATTTTTTGTAACTTAATTTAATTATAGTATGATCTTAATATTTTCATTATTATTACATAATTAGCATCATTAGTAACATAATAACTTTATAATTACTCTCTCCATCAGGCTTTATTGCCCTTCTCGTATTTAGGGTCAAACTTTGCCTTACATTTAAGTAATAAAATGTAAATTATATATCAAAAATTATACTATGGTTATCCTCTTTCAAATACAAATTCCATGATATACTTTTTTCTAAAATATTTTTTTAGTCATATAATGGTTAAAATTTGACTCAAAATACAAGAGGGGGTGGGCTAGTAAACCCGGACGGACGAAGTTGTATTTAAAATATTCTTTGTTATATGAATATAATTTTGATTTTAGAAACCAAATATATTTAAATGCAACAAATAAAAAAATTGCATAGATCCTTGAATGAATGTTTGACAATTCGTAGAGATGGTATAGTGTCTTTGTATTTCTTAGTATTTTAATATCATTAAATATCTTGATAGATATCTCTACACCACATGGACAAAAAAATATCTTACCATCGGTTTGAAAAATATGATTAGGTAAACAAAATTATAAAAACTTTGAGAGTTTAAATTCAAGCATTGGCATGATTTTTTTTTACTTTTTTTCATGGTGAAATATAGCTCACAAGTTACAATGGGTAATATACCTTCATAATGTGTGCACGCTCTGTATTTAGTACTGAAAATAACATTGCTAATAGTGACAATCATAGAAGTGTTGCGGATTTTACTACTTATCCATATATAATATTTGATTATTTTGTATAGTCGTCCTAACTCTGTCCAGTATAATCTGGTGTTTAAAAGTGCTCGTACTAATTTCTCAAGAAATGCATGCACAAAATTAAACACTCTGTTTAACATAGCTTTTAATACACCCTATAGAGGGTCGAACAGAGAGATACTAGTTGCCAAATTAATTTTGATGTCACTGGAAAATTGGTTTGTACCGAGCGGTCAACTTAGTAAGCTACCAACAAAAAACTACAAACAATAATCATTGAAAACATTCGTTTGTTTCTACATGGCACATGCTATTAATATGTGGTGTGCACTTGCTCGTACTAATTAAGCCTTATATTTATCCAATAGTCCCTTGAGTCTATTGGACAATAGTACAGTGTTTATTAGTATACTTTAGCATTTGGCGCAGTCACCCTCTCATGGCCTAGGTCAGTTTACCACCCTCGATGGAGCGTGGCCGTAGGTTTGCCATTTCCACTAAAAGAATGTAGAAACAAGAGTGCAACACTTTAGAGGATGGGCTTCAGTGAGACCATGTTTTGAAAATAAAAATAAAAATATATTACAAGATAAAAAGTATGATATACATGGCCTCTAAGTATATGAAAAGTTTCATTAAGATAAACCTCCAAAACAAGCTTCATTAAATAATAAAATTATTTGCAGGTTACACGAAAAGACAAAAAATCTGGCCCAACTACAAGAAAGAAAGAAAAAAATTATTAATCTATGTAATTGTCTTTTTTGCGTACACCACATATTAACATACTCACACCGTTCCAAAATACTTGTTGTTCGCAAATTTGAACTATAACCATGACAAGTATTTTTGGAACGGAGGGAGTATTCGTGTTGTTGGCATAGTCGATCTGAAGTTTATTTCGGAAAAGATCATGCGGCTGAAGAACATGCATAAATGAAAATCTTTTAGTGAATCTCTTCTGTGTCGAGATGGCTACAAGCTTGTTTTTTAGTCAAATAAATTTGTAGTGTCCAAGTGTGGAACTTTTGTTGGTAAAGGCTACAAAACAGGAGGATTATTTCCCCTATCTTTGTCAGATGTTTGTAATAAAATTGTTAATCATGTTTGCAACAATAGTGGATAAAATGTCTGGCATTCACATCTCTTTCATATTGATTTTGGTTGTATGACGCGGTTAGCCAAATTGAGCTTAATTCCTAATTTCACTACTATTAAGGGATCTAAGTGTCAAGTTTGTGTGCAAGCTAAGTTACCTTGCAAGTCTCATACAACTGCGGAGATGACAAATCCGGCACCACTAAATGGTGTTTTGACAAAAGGTGAAAATAAATATTTCATGTCGTTAATTGATGACTCCACTAGATACAACTCTGTGTATCTTCTGAAATCAAAAGATGAGGCTTTGAATTGTTTTCAAGATCTATAAAGCTGAGGCGTTAAACCAACTTGATCGAAAGATCAAGAGGCTTAGGTCTCGTCGTGGTGGAGAGTGTTTTTTTCAACAAATTTGATTTTTTTTTGTGCGGAACATGGTATATATAATCCATGAGAGGACGCCTCCTTACTCACCTCAGCCAAATGGTATAGCCGAAAGAAAGAATCGTACTCTAATAACTAAACAAAAAAAATTGATGTCCTAACTTTCTTGTACAGTCCATGCAAAAAAAAATTTGTTGTTACAGATAGCCTAAACCCTTTCTTCCGTAAAACCAAATGCTTCATGCTTCGTCGATCGATCTCCGCCGGCAGACTCCTCGATTTGCTTCCATTCCATCCAATATAAAAGGTGTCGTCTAGACTGGGTGGAGGTTTTTGAGAGCCACGGGAGAGCGCGCCCACGTTCCCGTTACTTGAACGAAGCCAAGTGTGTCAGCATGCACTTGGGTCAGTGTACAAGTCAAACTCACGCCTCTCGAGTCTCGATGCATGCTTAGGTTCGATCGATGCTAATTTTGAAGTCTTCTTCTCCATTCCCTTGAACAAAGCTAGTCTTCTTCTCCATCCCACCCTAGCTACCTGCTCTGCTCTGCTCCTCCTTCACATCACAACACAGCATTCAGGTTCTTCGTGTTCTTTCTTGTGTCACCCAGCATCCATCCATCCATCTTCTCCGGTGGTTTTTCCGTGGTGAATATACATACACATATGTGCATAGAGTGACCGGGGATGAACATGAAAGCAAGCCCGGTCCTGACGGCGCTGTTCGCAGCGGCGATCGGGTTCTTGGTCGGCATTTCTTTTCCTGTGGACATCACACCAAAGGTAAACAATAACATTACTAGTTCCGTATTGATTCTGTATTGACTCTACACTGAGTCTGAGCTGATTTGATCTGAGAAAATGTACAGTATGTTGTCTTACTGGGACTATATATGGTGCTATATATGCAGCTTCAGTGTGGCATCCTGCCTTGGAGCAGCAGCGGTGGCGCTGTGAACTGCAGCTTATGGGGGGACTATGGGGGGCACAGCAGCACGCTTGGCAGACTATGGGGGGCGCCGTTCAGGAATAGCAACAATGGTTCCCCAAATGCCACCAGTTCAGCGCCGGTACATTGAGTTTCTGAATGGTCCAGTTGTACTTCGTCCCAGCTAAATTTAAATGGTCTATTGATCAATGTATGGTGTAGACTGTAGAGGTTGCAGCAGCAAAACCTCAAGGCTCGGAGAGGCGGCTGCCACCGGGGATCCTGGTCCTGGACTCCGATCTTCACCTGCGCCGGCTCTGGGGGTCCCCGAGAGAGGTAAGTGTTTAGTTTCCATCTCTGAACAACCTCCCCGAGGACCTGACAGACTTCATTCTTCACTCTGTCAGATTGGATCTTGTTGCATTTCATCTTGAATTCATGGTTTCATCATGTGATGCGCAGGACAGCGCGACTGGCAAGTACCTCCTCGCACTCGCGGTAGGGTACGGCGAGAGAGCCAACGTCAATGCAACTGTTCACAAGGTAAATAAGCACTAGGCTTTCAGTGTAATTTGCCAAAACAAAACAAAAATTGAATGGCACTTGCAGTTCTCGGACAACTTCGACATCGTGCTGTTCCACTATGATGGCCGCACGACGGAGTGGGACGAAGAGTTCGAGTGGTCCAAGGAGGTCGCTCATGTCAGTGCCAGAAAGCAAACCAAATGGTAACATGACTCAGCAGACTTTCTTTCAGTCAAGTGTCTTCTCATTCCCATTACTATGTACCAACATGTTCCCAGTGGCACATGATTTCGAGCCAAATTCAAATAGGATTCAGACCTTTGTCACACATTTGTCAAATGTGCTCAAACTTAGGGGTTCCATTTCAGCCAAGTTCAGTTGGAAACTTCAGTCCTCTGACAATCTTCAGACATTTACCTGAAAAACATAATGATGACTGATGAAGGTGGTTCGCCAAGAGGTTCCTGCACCCGAGCGTGGTGGCGCCCTATGACTACGTGTTCGTGTGGGACGAGGACCTTGGTGTCGACAACTTCACCGCGGAACCGTACGTCCCTCGAGCTTTATGCTCTCCTCTGAGCTCTGAATATATATTCTGGATGATGAAGAACATGTAGGCTGTGGATGCACTGGTTGCAGGTACCTGGACATCGTGAGGAGGCACGGGCTGGAGATCTCGCAGCCGGGGCTGGACACGACCGAGGGGTCGGCGCCGATGTACGACATCACTGCCAGGAAAAACGGCAGCGAGATGCACAAGTAAGCATGCCTTCCATGATGATGCTTAGTACTCCCTCCGTTCCTAAATATTTGTCTTTCTAGAGATTTCAATAAGTGACTGCATACGGAGTAAAATGAGTGAATCTACACTCTAAAATATGTCTATATACATCCGTATGTGATATTCCATTTGAAATCTTTAAAAAGACAAATATTTAGGAACGGAGGAAGTACATTTCTAGGCAACATGCTAGCACAGTCTGAATTTGGGTTGTCATGCCATGGACGAACAGGACAGATGCAGGGGGTGAGCACTGCTGGGACGTGCACAAGCGGCCGTGCAGCGGGTAAACTAACTGAATTCTTCACTCCAGTGTCATCTTTGTGTGCGATTTTTCCGTTTTGAAACTGAAAATTCAAGCACGGATGCAGGTTCGTGGAGATGATGGCGCCGGTCTTCTCGAGGGATGCGTGGAGATGCGTGTGGCACATGATCCAGGTATGCATGATTGGTGTACATGATTGAGATTGTTGGCTTGTCTGATCTGAAAGGAAGGATAATGTGTTTGGCTGCAGAATGACCTTGTCCATGGATGGCCTATCGACTCCTATTTCTGGAGATGTGTCGATGTAAGCATATATAGTCCAATTAACGAGCAGCAGCATATGAAAATATATCATGAATACATATAGGATTACCTAACAACATTTTGATGTACATATTGATTTTTTTTATCATTTGAATCTGGCAGGATCCGGAAGAGCAGATTGGCGTCGTAGACGCGCAGTACGTGGTCCATCGTGCAGTCCCGACGCTCCAGGGCGAGGTGGTTGTGCAGTTTTTTTTGTCAGTTTAAAGCTTCAATGTCAAAACTTGATTGCTCTGTTTCTTATGCTCATTTTAATTTTCTCGCAACTTAATGACTATTCTTCTTCAGGGCGACAAAGAAAAGCCAGGAGGCCGTTTTGAGGTACCTGCATTATTTTTGCATCTCTATAAAATATGCAAACTATCAATACTAGTCTTAGTTAACATGTATATGATGTGTTAGTGAAGAGGGTTATTGTTATGTTTAATAATGTCGTATTTGTAGCTTTAGCTTGAGATTGAAGGTCTTTTCCTGCTTTTATATGAAATGACTAAACATATGCTACTACTTTCAACTGTACCTTCAAAATAATTGTGTGTGCCGCTTATGATAGGTAAGAGCGCGTCAATTTGAGGAGCTGGAGGCCTTTAACTCTAGGTTTGCCAATGCGGACAAGGAACTCGCCAACAAATCGTCATCAACACTAAATTAGTTTAACAACTGATTGCAAAAGGATAAACCCATGTTTTTATCAGCCAAAATTTTGAAGAATGTAATTATTATTTGCTCATTAATCAATATATTTTTTATAGGAAGGGAGCCGGCTCCCCTCAGGCACCTAAGGCCTGGTGGTTGGGTCCTCCTGCTTTTTTTTACTAGAAACCTATCCTCGTATTTTCTTGTTAGTACAAAATACTTATCTTCCCTGAAAACACAAAACACCAGAAAATGATAACTGGCTTCGGGCACTTTATTGATGTGTTAATCCATCTAAAAATCTTCCCCCACATCGCCCGAATGTGTCGAGCATGAAGAAGAGCCTGTGATGCCACCGTGTCCGGACGTCTTCAAACAAAAATGAAATGGTTACGTAATACTCAAAAGTATATATAAAACCTATAGAATTACTGCTAGTAATTTGACGAAATGGAAATGAATCAACGTTTTCTCAAAGATTGGCAACTAAACATTCCCTGCAAAAAGAAACACATATAGCATGAATTCGCTAGCAATACACAAAATTGCACTTTTCGGTATGCAAAAGAATAATCATATAGCATTGCAATTTTTGCACATGTTGTACAGTATTTGTGTGTATGTGTTCACGCTCAAACCACAAAAATAAAAATAAAGACAGACTAAGAAAGAAAAATAAAAAATACAAACAGATAAAAACAGAAAACGGAAAAAACAAAAGAAGAGAGGGAGGGCTAGGTCATGAGATGTGGGCTACATAGAGCTTGTTGGGCCAGCCTGTTAAGGAATTGACAGACCCAAAATAAAGAGGTCAGTCAAAAAATTCCAGCCCAAAATAAGACACATCACATAGCATAAAAAAAAGGAGCACAGATCTTGAAACATCAATCAACGGTCAAAAGATCGACTGTCCCCAATTTAATTTTCAGGAAACTTATTACATACATCTAGCTAAAGAGCAAAAATAGTTGATGTCCTTCAAAACTTTGTTGTTTTGTTACATATGGCCAAAAAAAAAGTTTGTTGTTACAGATAACCTAACCCCTATAAACCCTTTCTCACGGTCAAACCAAATGCATCAAGCTGCATTGATGGATCTCCCCCGCTAAACTCCTCGATTTTCTTCCGTTCCATCCAATATAAAAGGTGGCATTTGGACTGGGTGGAGAGGAGAGCGCCGCGCGCCCACGTCTAAACGAAGTGTGTCAGTGTGCTGCACTTGGGTCAGTGTACAAGTCAAACTCACGCTGCCTCTCGAGTCTCAATGCTAATTAAGTGTGTCAGTATGTTGCAGTCATCCTGTAGGTTCGATCGATGCTAATTTTAAAGTCTTCTTCTCCATTCCCCTAAACCAAGCAAGTCTGAGCAACCGAGGATGAAAATGAAAGCAAGCCCGGTCCTGGCGGCGCTGTTCGCAGCGGCGATCGGGTTCCTCGTCGGCATTTCCTTTCCTGTGGACATCACACCAAAGGTAGCATAAGCATTGCTAGTTCTTTCTGTGTCGACTCTGAGGCTCTGTGAGCTGGTATTTGATCTGAACAGATAATGAATGGTATGTTCTCTTCTTGGGGACTCTTACATGCAGCTTCAGTGTGGCATCCTGCCTTGGAGCACCACGAACTGCAGCTTCAGTCAAGGCAGCACGCTGGGCAGACTATGGGGGGCGCCGTTCAGGAACAGCACCGGTGCCGCAAATGCCACCGGTTCAGCACCGGTACATTGAGTTTCTCAACTTTCTGAACGATCCAGCTTAACTTCGTCCCAGCTAAGTAAGTAAATGGTCTGTTGATCAATGTATGTCGTAGATTGTACAGGTCGCGGCAACAAAATTTGAAGGTGCGGAGAGGCGGCTGCCGCCGGGAATCGTCGTCCCGGAGTCCGATCTTCACCTGCGCCGGCTCTGGGGGTCCCCGAGAGAGGTACGTCTTCGTCTTGCCTTTCGTGTTCAGTTTCCATCTCTGAACAACCTGACAGAGTTCATCCTTCGCTCTATCTGACGATCTTGTTTCATTTCATCTTGAATTCATGGTTTCATTTGATCGTACGATGCGCAGGACAGCCCGACTGGCAAGTACCTCCTCGCGCTCGCGGTAGGGTATGGTGAGAGAGAAAATGTCAATGCAACCGTCCACAAGGTGAAGAAAGAGTGACTTTCAGTGTTCCGGATGTAGAACTTTGATCAAATGACCATCACTAGTCTGACTCTGACCAATGACCATCGATCAAATGACCAATGAAATGATGCAGTTCTCCGACAGCTTCGATGTCGTGCTGTTCCACTACGATGGCCGCACGACGGAGTGGGATGAAGAGTTCGAGTGGTCCAAGAAGGTCACCCATGTCAGCGCCAGGAAGCAGACCAAATGGTACAAGCTTTTAACTACTGTCTGTACACTCCCCACACTCTCTGAATTTCTAAGTGCACTGACAATCTTCAGACTTTTTGGCCTGAAAACAATAACAACAACGAAGGTGGTTCGCCAAGAGGTTCCTGCACCCGAGCGTGGTGACGCCCTATGACTACGTGTTCGTGTGGGACGAGGACCTCGGCATCGACAACTTCACCGCGGAACCGTATGTCTCCCTCCAGCTATATATGCTTTTTTTCCCGAGCTCTCAATATATGTGGTGGATGATGATGAACAGGCAGGTTGTGGATGCATGGTTTTAGGTACCTTGACGTCGTGAGGAGGCACGGGCTGGAGATCTCGCAGCCGGGGCTGGACGCGACCAAGGGGCCGGCGCCGATGTACGACATCACCGTCAGGAGAAACGGCAGCGAGATGCACAAGTAAGCGCGCCGCCATGATGATGCGTACTACTCCCTCACATTTTGGATGTAATAAGATCTTATATAACGGGACGGAGGAAGTACGTGTCTAGGCAAACATGTTAGCACAGTCTGAATTTGAGTTGTCTGCAATGCCATGGATGAACAGGACAGATGCAGGGGGTGAGCATTGCTGGGACGTGCACAAGCGGCCCTGCAGCGGGTAACCCCGCTCCAGAACCATTTACTCTCGTTTGCGATTTTTCGTTTCGAAAGTGAAGATGCAAGCATGGATGCAGGTTTGTGGAGGTAATGGCGCCGGTGTTCTCGAGGGATGCCTGGAGATGCGTGTGGCACATGATCCAGGTATGCATGATGGAGTACACAGGACTGAAATTTCTGGGCTTGTGTGATCTCAAGGAGGGACACTGTGTTTTGCCTGCAGAATGACCTGGTCCATGGATCACTACCGGACTCGCGGGCTATGCCTACGGCCACGGGCCGTCGGCATAGATCTATGCCTACGTCAGCCGTCGGCATAGTATAGCCGTCGGCAGTGTTTTTCGTCTGACGGCAACGGACGGCGCCGTCAAAAGCACTGACGAATCACGCAACGCCACGTCGCAGGGCTATGCCTACAGCAAAGCCGTAGGCATAGATGAATCTATGCCGACGGCTTTGCCGTCGGCATATCTTTGCCACGTGGCAGCTCCTGGGTTCTCCTGGCAGCAGGGCTATGCCTACGGCAAAGCCGTCGGCATAGATTTTCATATATGCCTACGGCTTTGCTGTAGGCATAGATGTGCCACGTGGCAAGCCCTGGTAACTCCTGGGCGTATATATGCCGACGGCTTTGCCGTAGGCATAGTTTTTTTTCCCCTGTTTTCTCTTTTCCAATTCATTTGACAGCATTTCAAAACAGAACAATATGAAATTATGCAGAAATATGATAATTCATCATGTAAACATACTCAAGTTCATCTAAACATACTCAAGTTAACCATCATCATCTAAACATACTCAAGTTCATCACATCATCTAAAGATTATCACCGACGGAAGTTCATGAACATAAAAGTAGTGCAAGACATGAAACATGATAAAAGTAGGAATATGAAAGGCATGGCACGATGGCCACATGCACGGAATCATCAAGCAAGAGCACCTCCGCCAAAACCACCACCTCCGCCATAACCACCACCACCTCCGCCAAAAGCACCACCTCCGCCAAAACCACCACCACCACCTCCGCCAAAACCGCCATCACGACCACCACCACTCTGCCAGATCGGAGTGACTGGGGTCGACGGAGCAGGAGTCGAGCCACCGGTCCCCTACATGTTTCAGAAAAGATTCTAACTCGTTTGAATGTAAGCTCGTATATTTTTCCTACCCTTCCGTAGTAATCTACTTTATTATCTCCTTCAGTGAAGACTCCGGTATTTATGGTTTTGGGATCAGGCCGACTGTTCTGGTGCTCCTCTGTATGGAAGCGATACCCATTCACATCATGGTTTTCAGCAGTTCATGGCCCTCAGGCAGGCTGTTAGCCCATACTTCGAGAAATGCTTCGAAGCAACCTCGGCTACAGCCGTACTCAGCCTTGACTGCCATCAGTTGCGAGATGGCATCCAGCACAGACAGCTTGGCACCCTCATAGAGAGGTTTCTTTGACGAGGCCAAGATTTCCAGGAAGGCCTTTGCGGTTTCCTCCGGCTCCTCCGGTTCATTCGCTGAATGTGACGGAGGTGTCGGCTGTGCAGCAAAGACATCATCTAGCATGTCTCTAACCCCATCGTCCTCATAACCAGCGACGCGTTGTCGTATCACATCCTGTCTACCACGGCCCGCTGGGCAAAGTTTATCGGCATATTAAAGTTGGGCATAAATCCATGCGTGCGAGCGTGCTTAGTCATCTCACTCTTATCTCTGCGGATACGCCTCTTACATCTGGCACACGGGCATTCTGGCACCATCCTCATTGGACTACGAAATATCTCTTTCAAAAACACATCAGTTTTCTCGACCCACTCTGTTGTTACTTGATTCCGACGGAAAAACCCACTATACATCCACTGATTATCTGCCATCTCTGCTTTATTGGAAGCCACACAACAAAATTAAGGATTCATTTAAATTACTCACATCAATATTTTATTTTTTACAAGGTTGACGAGAAACGACATTTAATCCACCTACATCTCTAATAGGTAAAGATGGGTCCTAATCCCACCCGAGAATGTGTAGATTGAGTACGTTGTCCATGCTCTACCCCATTCCGAGACAAAATTTCGGCAGCACCTCCCCGCTGTTCTCCAAATACACGTCTCGGAAAAATGCCGAGAGAATGTGCATCCGGAGAACAACAAGGACGCGCCGCCGAAATCCTGTCTCGGAATGGGGTAGAGAATGAACAACGTACCCAATCTACACATCCTCGGGCTGTCCGTGGAAAGCGCTGGACAATCCGAAAGAGCTGCGGTGATAAATATGCAATTGAATGCATATTTATCGATGCAACCCTTTCGGACGGGAGACCTAGGTTACGCGACTTGATGTGAAAATTTAATCTAGTGACATGGAAAAAAGTGGACGAGGTCATGGAATTGTTGCTCACCCTCCGATGTAGTCGATCAAAGGAGACGGAAGATCGTGGACCAACACCTCCAACGTCGACAATCACTCCACGAAGATGGAACACCACAAATCCTATTAATTACACCGAGTGAAAAAAATTTAGGTCATCACCTCACATTAAGCATTGATACTTTTAACTATGAAAAAAAATCATGTTTCGTCAAGTGTCAAATTTTGTCCTTCAATTTTTTTAGCAAGATCATCATGATTAAATAACCACTCATCATATCATAATTTTGCAGCACATCTCACATAGCTACTTAACATTAAGCACTGACACTTAAAACTATGAAAAAAATCTTATTTTGTCAAGTGTCAAATTTTGTCCGGTTCAATTTTTTTGACAAGATCATCATGATTAAATAACCACTCATCATATCATAATTTTGCAGCACATCTCACATAGATACTTAACATTAAGCACTGACACTTAAAACTATGAAAAAAATCTTATTTTGTCAAGTGTCAAATTTTGTCCGGTTCAATTTTTTGACAAGATCATCATGATAAAAATAATCACTCATCTTATACCAATTTTAGAGCACATCTCAAATGACAAGATCATCATGATAAAAATAATGCAAACTAACAATCTAACATCCTAACATCCAACATTCAACTATATATCAACCTAACAACCTAACATCTAACATCTAATCTAACATCCAACATCCATCCATGCATTCATTCATCCATCCAACAGTAGAAAAAAATGCAAAAAAATGAAAAAAAAACGTAGCTCACCGAGAGGGGCGTGGCAGGGGGCGAGGCGGTGGAGGGGATGGTG